TTATAGTCTGTCTCGTAAGAGCGTGACCGGCAACATTTTTACCTGGATGCAACTATTATAAGTATTCCGATGAATTCAGGTAGCCTGATTCATCTCCGTTATTCTGTATACAGGGTGTAACAAAATTGTTGTAGGTACACCCGCGAGCAAACTCGACATCCGCTAGGGGAAAAAGTAGCGTAAGAGAAAGGCCTCCTACCACTTGGTATTTGGAATTACTGATATGTATGCCAAATTAACATTCGATTTAACATTTATTTTAGTACCTGGAATAAAGTTACCGAGTGGTAGGAGACCTTTTCCCTACGTTATTTTTTCCCCTAGTGGAAGCCTAGTTTGCTCGTGAGTGTAAATTAATGATTTGAAACAAGTTTTTCATTAGCAAAAATGTTATTCGAGACTCTGTTAACAAGATATTAACGAAAAGCCCCGACCAATCAGAACTCGGCCGGCAGACTCGCTCTTTAATTGGTCGGGGTTTTTCAACATCGTCGGGGTTTTAGAACATTTTTCCTAAAGAAAAAATTGTTCCAAATCACTTCACGAGTGACCAATTTCAGGGACCTACAACACTTTTGTTACACCTTGTATACAGAGTGAAACAAAAAAAAATGGTTTATTATTTCTAGTATACATATACATAGTATATAGGAAAAAAAATTCTAATAAATATGGGGTCGAAGAATCCAAATATTTCCAAACTATAGGCAATTTTTTGTTTTGGTTAAACCGACTAACTTTCCTACTGCGAGAGCTATCGTACCGTGTTGAAGCAATGAAAGAAAGTGTAAAAAACGAATAAAGACCGTAGAAAACCTTTTGTAACCAGGAAAAGAAGAAATGTTTCCGTTCGAATAAGTTGCTCATTTTTGTGTAAAAATCGTAGAATTTTTGATAAAAATAAGATGGAAGGATGAATGTTCTTCGAGATTGAAGCTAAGAGATTGCAGAATCACGGAAAATACGAAAAAAGGATCACATGCAAGTTTTGACCTTGGAAATCTATGTTAAGGTTGACATTGTGGTTTCTTCGTTATAATAAGTGGTTGAATGATTTGTACGACTTGTTATTCATCATTACCTATAGATTTCGACGATTTATCTGTTCTAGGGCTAACTACGAATTTCTATTTATATGTAATCGACAATGTATAATTAAGAATTTATATTCCTGAAATTTAGGGATATTATTACACTGATTAGTGAGCTAATTAAATTCATAGAATGTATCGATTGAGAAAAATGTTGAGAAACACGGATAGCTGTCAATATAATTGAATTAAGTAACTGTAACAAATGTATTAAAAATACAGAAAATACAGGAAAATATTGATTTTTCATAATAACGCTTCTATATTTTTTTCTAACAACCTTATCATACGTTCGTGTTTTTATCACTGGACCCGTGTGCTCGCGTATCGATACGGTAATCGATACCAAAATAATACCTGGTAATTAACGGATGGCAGTTCTCTATTGCTTTAAATCTTGTACTCTTATAGCGGTTCTACGGACCTCATATTTCTGTCTAATTCAGTAATTAACTATGAATAAGTTAAAGCAATAGATACTATACAGTAAATGTTAGCACAGTGATTGATATCAATGATAAACTGTAGCTTATATTGAAATTTAATTTCATATATGTACATTAATCACATGTAGGAAGTGTTCGATGTTTACGATACTTCTAATGGTATTATTCAATACTTCGTTTCCTTGCGGAGAAAAGTTCGAAAGAGACTACATCATAGGATAATTCCAGTTAGCGCGAAGTTTCCACGTTTATTTACTCAAGAGCTACTCATAAAGTTGTGTCGTTAACTTTTTCTCCTCAGTCGCTTCGTTCACGTCTTGTTGACGTAGTTTCGTTACCCCCTTAGATTCTCTTTGTAGTTCGCTACGTTGCCATTTCTATGATCATCAACATCGTTTACTGTGTCTTACTCTTTCCAAATGCGTTCTACTGTAAAACAAACGCCGTGAGGCATATGAAATTTCTTCTCGTGAAGTCTAGCAGGAAAAGGAACAAGCTTCATTTAAATATGAGAAACTATTGCCAAAGTAAGTCCCATGAATATATTGTCAAATTAAAGTAGAAAAATACTAAAAAAAAGCTATTGTACAAAAATTTAAAATCCACTCATAGGAAACATATATGTACTTTAAACTAAATTATAATTTTAAAAATACATATTTTATTGTATTTTCACCCGATAAAATACAATGTAAGACTATTCTAGGCTACAGATGTTATACTGAACCTTTTATAATTTTACCGTTAAAATATAAGCATATAAGTTGATCAACAATTACTCTTTCTTAACGTTAAATTATGCGAAATATATAATTATTTTTAATATGGTACCAGACGATCAAGGAATGGCGTGGAAAATGATTTCGTGGTTTTCAATCACTAAGAAGACATGTCTATCAGAGTACAGGTCTGTAACTAGGTGCACAGTAGAACATCGTTTACCTGTCACCCTATTATCCGTTAGACATTATTGATCGTCAAGTCGATATTTTGATGATTCACCTGTTAAAGGATCTGTTTTATCGTAAGTTCGTATTTTTATACTGTTCTTAACACCGAACCTATTTCGATTGACTTTTTGTCGTTTTTAAAAATTTTCAAAGAAAAGTACTTTTATTGAAAAATAATGAAAAAATTGCTGTTTCTTACCTGTTTAAACTTTCCATTAAAATATGTTAAATAAAAAATTTATTTGTTCATCTGCTTCATGCGCTAACCATCTCTATAAGTTTTAAGAAAAACTTGGTTTTATGATTTCAGATGAGTGGATCTTGAGATTTTATGTATACCGTTTGGACATCCGTTTGTTGTATCGTCACAGTCATTGATAGTTGTTGTAGTATTGATTAAACAAAATAACATTAAGAAAATTTGTTTCATATCTTAAAATGTATATGAATAAACCCCAGACTGATTGTTCACTCAATGTGTCATAGTTTGCTTTTACAACAATCCTAAGAAAGCTGGTTTTTATGGCGTATACACCGGGGGGGGGGGGGCTTGCTCCCCTCCGTGGACAGAAAAAAATTAAATTGCCCTCTCCCCCGACTGATAACCTGGTTACGCCCATGTACACCAGCATGTACTGTTCTAACACTTCGACTACACGTCATTCAAATATGGATGACAAGTACAGTGAGTATCAAAAAGTCTTCTCTCACCATTTAAAACCGAACACTTTTTTAACAATCGGACCAAGTAACTTGAGTTTCTTGCGAAGTTCGAAAGATTAGCTTACTAAATGATGTGTAGAAAATTTTTTGAAAAAGTAGGGACTCGTCGGAATTGCAAAGAAAATACTAAAGGTCGCATTCTACAACTTTTTTACCTTAGACAGTAATACAAATTTAAGAAATACATTTTTTAGATTTATGTTAGTCATATACATGCTGCAAATTTCCACGAAATCGGTTAACGTTGCTATGAGGTACAAACGGTTAAAAATCTTGCGACTTTTAATCTGCAGCTGTAGTAAATCTAAAGATTCTTAGATCTTTCGATGACTGTCACTCACTTCTGTATCAACCGATTCTAATAAAAGTTTCAGGATTCATATAACTAACATAAATCTTCGAAACGTATTTATTAAATTTTCATTCCAGTCTCAGATAAAAAAGTTGTAAAAGGCAACTTTACTATTTTCTTTGCAATTCTGACCAATTGTAACTTTTTCAAAATATTTTGACGCATCATTTAATAAACTAATCTTTCTAACTTCACAGAAAAATTCAAGTCACATGGCCCAATTTTTAAAAAATTATTTTGTTTTAAAGAGTATGCGAAGACTTTTTTGACTAACTGTACATTGCTAAGAGGCTGGATTATTTAAATAGCGTTACAAATTTTTTTCGCACAATTAATATCGCAGTATAATAAATTTCAAACAAGACCAGCAGCCTCTATTTATGAAATGTATACATTTTCGACGATTTATGACTTAAAAAACGAAATAAAGTGTGTCTGGGTACGTACGACCTTTTTTACTGTGGCAGTCAATATGTTAACTCTCTCAGACCTGGTGGTCACATTTGTGTATATGAAGTTTCTTACAATTTCATACAAAGCCTTAGGTATAGTGTGTTACAGATTCATACGTTTCGCATACATTTAAATTTTGTCATGTTCTGAATGTTTTTAATAGGTCTAGTGAATTCAGAATTGAATAACAAACGTTCTTTAAAACAAATTTAAGAAATATATTTATTAAACAGAATATCATCTAAACAATCGACTGAGTTTAAACGTGTGACCAAATATTTTTTTTACTTTTAACACATTCAGGACAGGCCGTAATGTTTTTCTGACCCCATGGTCTGAAGAAATGAATTTTTTTTTATGTTTTCAGTATCAATAAGTTATTATAACTTTTCCAAACGACACTTATGAATAGAAAATGTTTTTTCATCACATTTTTAAATGAAAACTATAGCCTCCACCCGATTGTACGATTTGTCGTGTTTGGGTAAATCGATACAATATTTGAAACAGTGGACGAACTGGGGCAAAAATCCTCGATGAGTGTTCGAAGGCTCCTCGGCACCGAACATTAAATATTTCATAAACTAATGTCCATATGCGCCTGAAACAAATATCATTGGCTTCAGAATTCCATGTTTTATCATTGTGCTAAACTTAATTAAAAAGTCAGCGTTACACCTGGGGACCTTCCGTTGTCAGTGCCGTGGAGCCATCGAACACTCATTGAGAATTTACTGTAGTACCAAACTGTCTCTTTAGATGTCACTGGTGTAGATAAATTCACTTATAACTGTACAAGACGTATATGTACCATCCACAATGCCCCAAAGGTGGGCATTGGATTGACAGAGTTTGGGAACTACAGTTCCCACCCGTACCGAACGTGTTAAAAGAAAATGCAGTTCTAAAAAGGTTAACAGACCGTGTGAAGCGAATAGCTACTGACTGCAATAAACAGTTGGCCGAATAGTTAATTAATTCTCACCTCAGCAATCTGGCCTCCCTGGTGCTGCTGCAGCTGGTCCCGGAAGATGTGACACTGTTGATGCTTCGACTACGACGGGTCTTCAACGAGTCGCCCAGGTTGTAGACCCCATTCGCCGTAATAGAAAACGACCTCAGCTTGTAGTATTCCACGCCATCCTCGGTCTCACCCTCTTCAGCCCCACCGGCGCCGCCACCGCGTTTCGTTTCAGCGAGCATCGGCTGCAACAGGAGAAACTTACTGTACTACTTGATACGGCTATTTTAAAAAGAAAATCCCGCCTGACAGCTGGGACGTTTATATCGTCCAGGACACTCTACTTTTCTACAGTCGTTTCCCATTGTTGACCTTTCGATTTGTTTACATCTGTGACAACCTCGTGATCAGCGCCATCTGTTTTCAATTTTTCTGACCGCAATTTCATTGGTTTCGTTGCGATTGATTAAATATTCTGTTGATATAGATAGAATTTGTGTACAGGCTAGTTATTCTGTTATGTGAACGATCTTTCTTTATTGTATTTTGGATGTCGTCCTCTTTATTTCAACGTTATCCTGCACAAATCTATAAACCGTAGGGGACAGAATTAAATTTCCTTCCTTTTTTATTAGGTATGCCGGAAAGTAAATTTGTATTTTGTGATGTATGTCTTTTTGTCCTTGTATTATATTTAAGTCTTTTTAACTTTTAAATATATTATATACTAGACTGGTGACTTCCTTATATAAAATGTCTTGAAATTATATATACTGAAGTACCCATAAAAAATACATGTAGAGAATTCCATTAATCTATCACATAGCTTCTGCGCATGTGCAGGATGGGATACCTTAGTACATACTTTTAGAGGACAATTTATATAAGCAAAATTTGGGGAGTTAGCAGTCTAGTATACAGGGTGTATCAAAAATGTTGTCCGACCCGGAAACGGGGCACTCGGGGTTGAATTGGAACAACTTTTTCCTTAGCAACAATGTAATCTGAAGTTTCGTTACCGAGATATTAACGAAAAACCCCGACCAATCAGAGCGCGAGTTTACCAGCCGAGTTCCCACGCTAGCGGTGGCTACGCGCTGCGATTTGTAGCCAACGCTACCGCGGGAACTCGGCTGGCAAACTCGCGCTCTGATTGGTCGGGGTTTTTCGTTAATATCTCGGTAACGAAGCCTCAGATTACATTGTTGCTAAGGAAAAAGTTGTTCCAATTCACCCCCCGAGTGCCCCATTTCCGGGTAGGACAACATTTTTGTTACACCCTGTATAATGTAAAAGTCTGTGATTTTTATACTCTACCATAACCTAGGCGAGGGTTAACGAAAAGTACAGTAAGAGAGACTACAGTAAATCACCGATGAGTGTTCGAAAGCTCTTCGGCACTGAGCGTTTAGACGTCATCCACTGAGGGGTCCCTCGTGGAACCAGTCAAGCGACCAGTGGTGGGGATGTAGTCTGAACACTCAGTGCCGAAGAGCCTTAGAACACTTACCCATGTTTTGCTGTATTTCAGTGATTAGTACGTTCATTTGTATTCACAAATTTTCAGTGAAGTTTGTTAAGGAAAAACGACACGACTTTCCAGTACCCCTAATACTCGTGGTAGCTTACATCTTCGCGTTTTGATGAAACAAATTATTAAAATCAAAGTGTTGTTACTTCAGCAAGCAGGCTATTTTCAGTCGGTTCGCCGTACGTGCAAATACACCCACCAAAACCTAAATGATTGTTAGATCAACCTCGGCTCGTAACGACATTTGTTTTCAAACTTACGAGACGATCGGGCGTGTATCAGCTAGCAGAAACTTGAGAAGTGGTAACTAACTCAACTGCAGTAGCCAACCGCAGCTTACAGCCCCTAAGCTGTACGTAAACGTCTCTAACCTGGAAATTCTGCGGATCCGGATTTCGAGAAGGTGACCAACTACGGATTGAAGCACTAGTTCGAAACTTACGCGGCAGTTACAACCGTGTGTTGACTGTACACCACGGAAACGGCACCTTGCATCAGCGAATACGTTATCATTAACTTTGGTGCCGTGTGAACTGTTTCCAGGAACTGACTAAAGTTGCTAAATCCCGGGGTTAAAGGGATGCCGCATTCTGGCCCCGTAACCTTTATCCTTCACCGTGGCCAGTGTATTTTGCGAATCGGATTGAAATAAGCCTGTTAATATTTATGTATGACAAGATTTACGATTTGGACACACAGTGGCCCAGAATGAAAATTTAGCAGCTCATAGACTTGTTTAGATGAAACAATCAGAAATTTTTAAACTTATAAATTTTATTCAAATGGAAGTGGATAAATGAACAAATTTTTATTAATTTTAGGGATACCCTTCGATGATGTCATCGTTCACTAACAGTGTTCTCATTTTCCTGGAAGTCTGAATATTTAGGGAATTTTTTCTTTCATTTTTGACTAAGATTGATGCTACGAAAGGGTATGAGGATACCACTATTACAGGGAACAAATCTTTCATGGGTAATAATAAGTCGATGTGAGTTTTGTGGAAAATAAAAGAAATTTGTTATCGATCATTTCAGCTGCTGAATTTTAATTATGGACCACCGTGGGACACTTGGAACGCCGTTATAATTTCGTGGCTAATCTACGGTTTACGTGTGTATACAGGGTGTAACAAAAATGTTGTCCGACCTGGAAATGAGGTACTCGGGGGGTGAATTGGAACAAGTTTTTCCTTAGCAACAATCTGAGGCTTCGTTACCGAGATATTAACGAAAAACTCCGACCATCAGAGAGCGAGTTTGCCAGCCGAGTGCGGTGAATACGCGCTGCGATTTGTAGCCAACGCTACCGTGCGAACTCGGCTGGCAAACTCGCGCTCTGATTGGTCGGGGTTTTTCGTTAATATCTCGGTAACGAAGCCTCAGATTACTTTCTTGCTAAGGAAAAACTTATTCCAATTCATCCCCTGAGTACCCCAGTTCCGGGTTGGACAACATTTTTGTTACACCCTGTATAGTAAGACCTTCGATTGTGGAAACTGGTAAAAACAAAAAAATCACTATTTGTTATACAATATTCACGGGTGTATACGAAGTGTTAACGTCGTTAACGACAAATCCATTTGAAACGTATTTTTGCCACGCATAGAAGTTCGATTACTGGAACGCTGAATTAACACGTTTACTGTCATGTATATAGTTTTCGGTACAAGCTAACCTCGATCTTCACGCCAACTGATGTTTCAATCATTAACACTTTGCCGGCCGCTTATTTCTCGCATCGCCTTTACGCTGCCGCCGGCGAATAATACGCGTACGTGACCCCGGCCGATAAACGTTGGCGAGCAGAAATAACACCAGCGTGACAGCGGCCGGCAGAGTGTTAAGAGACAATGTAAAATAATTTGTTTTATCATTTACTTGTACTCTAGTGATTATGTGTTCAACATTTTTCAAAGCGTTTACTAAATTCGTTACACTTACGGGCCTTGGTTTAATCAATTTTCAGTTAACATGGTCCAATTTCGATGTGCGCGTATAGGGTGTAGTTTCGTTTACAATTGAAAACATTGTTACGCTATAGTCACTCCCTTTTTTAAGTTACATTTAATTTGTTTTATAATAATATAGTTTCTTTACTGTTTTTTGTTCTATCATACATCATCTTTGTCATTATTTAATTCTTTAATTTTACGATAAACTTATTTGCTTTTGTTGTACTGTGCATTTTATACTTTGAATATCCAAAACAAAAACATTATAATATGATTTGTATTATAAAATTTGAAATAACGAAATATAATAGTGTATAGTACTTTCTTGTTCAACTCGTTTAATTATTTACGTTCAAGGTTATTTCCATCGTACGCGCGTATCTAGGAAAGTTTCAAAATTCGATTATTTCGGGAACGAAGCCACCGATGAACAAATTTTATTCTACACTTTCGATCTATTTTCGTATAAGTAATCACCTGCTGTCGCTTGAAAATTGAACTATTAAAATTCGATTTTCTGTCCTATTCGCAGCGAAGCGTGGAAGTTAGATTTTATTTTAATCGTTGGTACAATAAAACGCAAATCCTACCAACGATCGTTTGACCATTCACCGGTCGGAACACAGTCCTGCGGGCAAATTGAGACCAGAAATAACACGGTCCGAAGAATAGGAACGAAGCTCGACAGCTTTTCATGGAGGGATGGCTGGTGGTTCTCAGTCGGTCCCGACTTTTTGCGATAAAAATTGCTTTATTGATTCCTTTGTTGCGACACAGAGAACGCTCTAGTATCGTTGGAGGAGTATTACAATAAATATACCGAAAGATAACGAACATTCATTGTTGCTCGTAGCTTTTATCTTCTTGGACAAAGGTTCACCTCGCGGAATAGTGTCGATGGAAAGTAAATACAGACATTAGACTCTTTTTGTTGACGAAATTCAAGTATTATTTCTATTTCTGAATGGATTATTTTCTTCCGTTTTTTCTTTAAGCGAGTAAACGTTAGACAGTTATTTTCGTGGACTTTTCTTAGCGGTCGTATATTCTGAATTTAATTTATGTGACAAAACAAAATTCATTTCAATAAATTGTCGATCCAATGATGAAGTTACGAAGCTGCATGAACTTAATTTTTAACACTCCGAGCACGGTCCCTGGGTTACGCGTACGCGAGAGCGACATGCACACAGTAACAGAGTCAGGAGTGGGGACACGCGGTCTCGAGAGCGACACGTACGCAGTGACGGAGCTGTCGTGTAAATTGCATAGCGACCGATGTTTGTTTACATGCGAACGACCGAGCCAAGACGCCGCAGAAGTATAGACTAATAAATATAATTTGTTTTATAATTCACGAGATGTGTATTCTAGTTAGTGTAATAAGAACCACGAAAATCCAAATGTAATGTGGAACCAGCTAATCATTACATTGTACACATGGTGACGGTGGCTCGAGCTCGAGCTCGAGCAACCGGCACTGCGTAGTAGCATCGGTGAGGGTCTCGAGCTCGAGCCATACTGGCACTGTGTTAGTACAGTGTCGGTGAGGGCCTCGAGCTCGAGGCTCGCCGTCGCTATGTAGTAGTAGAATATCGGTGTGGGGTCAGAAATGACATAGGGACCGGTGACCATGTTTCCGTGCTCGGAGGGATAATCACTTTGCACTGTAGGAGATCTGATGGGACAGGCGGTCTGTGGAGACGTTTCTTCCAGTCGCTTGGATTTTTGGTAGCGGCTGCTAGGTGGCGAGTTTCCTC